GTTCTATAGAGCGTCCAGTGAGAGACGTTTTGCGCTTTTTGGCCGCTCAAAACGCGTTTGGTGTGAACGCAGCATAAAGATCTCCAGTCCGTCTGTTTCGGTTTTCGTGGGAGACGCGTCGAGCGGCGAAAAGTTCAGATATTTGAACTCTGGCGGCGGCTCGGGCGGCGGCGGCTTCTGCAGCACCGCATGCACGGAAAACGCTCTGCGCCCCTTCCGCCTTCCTTGCGCGCCGCTCATAACGCGCGTGACGCGACGCACAACCCCTTGAAGGCGCGTTCGCCATAGACTTTGCATGTAAACTGGCAGCTCCTGCCGCTCAAAACGCTCTTGGTGTGAACGAGCCATCAGGCCGAAGATGCAGAAGACCAAACTACAGGACCTGTCCATCTGAGGGACATGTGTAGTCTAAAAGACATTTAACCATGAAATGTTCAGTTTGTGATGTTTATATGACATACACCCAGCCCCTCGGCCACTTAGATAGTTTTCAAAATTTATGTAGAGTAAAAAAATTAAATAAAAAACTCAGTGGACTGATTTGGCATGATGTCCTGAGACGTTGCAGCTGATAGGAGTCATAAAACAGAACAGGGGGACGTTAGATGCCCGGACACCCCTGTAGATAAATGTGTTAAATGAGTGAAGGAAAAAAATGAGCACCAAGCAACAACCCTAGGTTCTCCCCTGAAAACCAGACCCAAATTTTTATGTGCAACCCTGTTTATTAYGAATAAAGACTTCTGAGTTCCGGTGCATTTGTGCGTGCAGGGGTCATTATGTTACCGCTATGCGGTATCTAGTTATTATTATATCAAAAAACAGCTTAAAGCAAATATCTAGTTTCCTTTCCTGACTGCAACTCCAGCACTTCTTTATCAGCCTACTTTATATACATTCCTGTCACCTCATTTATTGACCTGGTGCTCCGGTCACAGCTGTCAGACCCTYGCAGTCACCCAGGTTTTGTTTCACCTTTTTAATCCCCCTGTTATTGCCAGTTCTCTCACCAGTCTTGTCGCTCGTCCCGCGGGTTGTCAAGCAGGACTCTGACGATGTAGAGGAGGCAGCTCAGCACTTTCAGAGCAAAGTTAAACATTCGCACTCGCAGACCTGCAATCCAGAGCAAATAATACCAATTTATGAAAGGATGGAAGGTCAACCTAAACAAACTAATTACATAACGTGARTGATTTTGTTGTTTTAATTGGCTTACAGGAGAAAATGAATTACGTTTAATTTTAATCAACACACGGGCAGACAGAGAAAACAGTCTCACAAAGAGGAAAATCTGGGAAACAGATGATGAAATGCCGAGCAAGAGTGTAACACCGCTTTGCACACCAAAAAATGAAACACATCTTTTCAGCCGAAAAGCACGTAGAAACAAAGACAGCAAACAGAAAACGGGCATGTAATTCCAAAYCGCGAAAGTGAGACCCTGAAACTTACTGGATCTTTGGTTTTTGATGAAGAAGAGCTTGAGGCGCTCCTTGAAAGTGTTCTCGTTCACGTAGAACTCCACCTGCACCCTGGAAGAAGGATGGAGAGACGGGCAGTCAGTAAGAGAGGGATGGGGATAATGAAGGCACCGGAGACAAACGAGGAGTCAAAACAGAGCCGCTTCGGGTGACTGAGGACAGAAAACATTTCTTTTTTACAGAGTCAAGCACAGAGAAAAGAAAGTGGAATGAATTTTTGGACAAAAAAAAGGTGATGACAATTCTTTGAGCAGAAAAGTATGAAAATAAGGCAACATTAAGGACTAATGGGTTTTGGAGGAAATGGTGCTCCTGCTTTTGCGCCTGCCCATAAGGCCCAGACAGCTGCAGTCACTCTCGTTATCTCCACTGATTAAATATAGAGCAACAAATTACTTCCCTCTGATGTTTCTGCAGAACATGGGAGGCCATAATTACTGCTCTTTCTGCTTTTCCAGTCCGGCACCCTCCTGTTTGGAGGGACACACACACACACAYACATGTCCAACATGCACACCTATTAATAGTGGAACCCCTCACACGATCAGCTGACGTGATGAAACGACAGAAACTTTTCTCAAACAGCTCTTACATGTGTGGAGACACACAATCACGTAATCAGACAGACTGTAGGTGACTGTAATTCCTGTCTAACCACCTCGGGGTGGTGGGGTGGGGGTGTGTGTGTGTTGGGGGCGGTGTCTGTAGCTCTCTTTTCATTCTCTGTAAGGAGGAGTGGATGACTCAGGCTGGGGTTAAAAAACGTCTGACCCATCACGCTGCTGTCCTCCTTTACAGCAGAGAAAGATAAAAGAGAGGCAGAACAAACTGCCGTCTATTCTCCTGGATGAAGGAAGAGAGCGGGGGGTCAGTGGGTTGCAGAATATGTGTTTGTGTGTGTGGAGGGTGAGGAGGTGGAGGGTCTTCCCAGGATCCTGGTGTAACACACAGAAAACAGGACCAGAGCACCTTTTAGACAACGTTTAAAAGAACGTGGGGTAACTTTCCTTCGTTACCATGGCAACCTGAAATTCATTGTCTTTTTTTTCCTTCATTCTCGCAGGAGCAGATGTGTGCAAACGCGTTATTTAATTTTTTTAAATTTTTTGTGAGTTGTGTTCAGCCATCGGAGCTGATGGCCCCGCTGCAACTTGTCGACGGCTCCCCTCGCTCTGAGCAGATTGGTGCCAGTAATGCTTTTGTGCACAGAATGAGAAAAAATAAAAAAATAAACAGAACATAACACCTGCACATAAAACACAACTGTACCTTTCTCTTTGATTAAGACGACTCTGTCAATCAAAACTCAAAGTAGCTTCGTGTGTGGCTAACATGTTAACTTCTGGTGCAAAGAAAGCAGCAATTAGCTGATTAGACTTGGCGGCCATCTTTTTAGTTACATCCAGTGCTTAATTTCTGTAAGTTTCACCAACATCAGTGAGGTGATTCATAACATATTTTGCTAACACTGCAGACGAATGAACACACACCCAGAGCTGAACCACAGCTGTTTTACTGGTGCTGAATTTCTTCCGACTAGGGGTGTAAGAAAATATCGATACGCTGAAATATTGCGATATCTCATTTCCTGATACTGTATCGATATTCTAAAGCCCTGTATCGATTTTTTAAGGTTTAAAATGTCAACTTTCCTGCCAGCCATTCATTTTTATGTTGTAGTTCTGCCTCTGACCACTAGTTGGCAGCAGTGAGCCAGACATTTGGCTCCTCTACCTCTTGAGTGCCAGAGAGTAAGGGTAGCATTAGCATTGTAAGTAAACATTAGCTTCATGCTCCGATAGCTGAATCTGAGCGGAAAAGACCGACACCCTCTGCCTTCTAAGCTGAGGTAAGGTTACAAATTATTTGTCACAATGTCTGTATTTTAAGACAAATTAAGTGTCTTGTGCACTCTTTTTTCCAACTGTAGTCAGCCTTCATGTTTCAGAATGCTAGCGCATGTCCATGTAATAGAATTTTCTGAGACAATGAATTTTGGTTTTTCATTTTTTTTCCAGTAAGAGGTTTTTATACAGTTTTTGGACCAAAAAAAAAAAATCTCAATATATCGCAATATGTCACCTTGCTTACAGTATTGCAATATATCGGGATATATCGTATCGTGACCCCTCTGTCATGATAAGTATGTATCGTATCGCCAAACTCTTGCCAATACACAGCCCTACTTCCGACAAGCTCTTTCAGGCTAGAACAGGGGCGGTTCTAGGGGTGGGACCACAGGGGCATTGACCCAAGCTGAAATCTGACTGGCCCCCTGAAGTGCCCCATCCTGTCACTCAGAGCCACACTCCTCTGTCCTTTGCCTGAGATGGGTGATGGCTTGTGCAGTTCCATGTCCAAACACTAGAGGCGCTAATGAGTCAAATAGGAATATCCAGCATGAATCGGTCTTACAGAGTTCTTCTCTTCTTAAAGGGATCCATGATTAGTTGTAACATTAGACTTTGTTTGATAAACATTTATTTTAACTGTAAAATAAAGACTGTAAAAATACTGTAGGATGTTCAGTTTTAATCATCTTTAAACTAAATTTTAAAAAATATTACATGGACTGAGCCATTTTATTTACACACAAAGCATTCTGGGTACATGATGACATCAATGGGTCCTCGGTGCGAGGCTGTGAGCGAGCTATATCCACCCTGAAGGTTAATCTTGGACAATATCTGAWGATYGACTCTTTTAAATGAAACCAGAGAGCGTTGACAGAGAGGAGAAGGTAGAAATGACTCAGCCTGGAACTGAAAATGTGGATGGAGGACAACAGTTTAGTTTGTTAGTTTGTCTTGCTAGCGCCAAGATAATACATATAAGGCAATACAGCGTTGGCGCTAAAGCTAACAGGCTAAGCTGAGGTTCTTCCTTCGTGAAGCAGCTCTGTTGTCCTCCATCCACATTTTCAGCTTACCAAACCTCACCAAAACCAGGGATTTAAATGCAAGGATGCTGATCAAATACTTGGCCCCTCTATAAATATTGTGGCCCCTTGATGGCCCTTTACTCAGAAAAATCCTGGATACGCCACTGTGCTAAAATCATGTCATCCTTAAGTAAAATAAAACTTTATATACTTTAATGTTTTCTTACTTTCAAAAATAATGTTTTTTTAACAACTGTCATCTGAAGATAAGTGTTCTGTCGCCTGCTACATCCCCCGTTTTTCCCTTGTTTGATATTCTCCAAGGACGTTTTTAGTTGATTTATATGCTTAAATCCAGACATCTGTGTACTTTTTTTTTTCACTCATCAAAGCCTCCTCAAACTTGGTGACTTAAAGCTGTGATCTCAGGAGAAGATCATCTCAGAGGTCATCCTGCCCCTGATGTGTTTTTAAAGCCGCTCTAATACAAAAGGATGAAAGGTAAATCGAAAATATATCCCGATGAAGAGCTGAGCTGCGGACTAGATCAAGAGTTGGGAACTTTAGCTGAAGGAGAAGGTGGTGGAGAAAAGGAAAAGGAAAAAAGAATATTCAAAACCCCTAAAGAAGATTACTTCAAAATAAGAGCACATCTCAGTGGAAAAGGTCTTTCGTTTTGGAGTTTTGATGTTCCCTGCGACTCATCCAAAATGTCAGTTCACTAAATAAAATATTTGGTGCCAGGAAAGATGAGCTCATTACTTTCATTAAAGAAAAAATTGCCCATTTTTTTACAACAGGAACAAGATTTGTAGAAAGCATCTTAAAATGTGAACACTGAGCCAGGAGTAAAGCTGCATTTGAATACACGAGCATGAGAGAGAGAGAGAGAGAGAGAGAGAGAGAGAGAGAAAAGGAAAATGGACAAAAATAAGCAGCCGCAGACAGATGGACAGACGGACAGAAGGGGACATGCGGAGGAGGATCTTAGAGAGGGAGAGTGATTGCTGAACCTTGTTCTCCTGCTCCTTCCACCCATGCCTTCGCTCCGTAATGACACAGCACAGACCACCTAATGACACAGTGGAGGGGACTGAAGAAACACAAATCTGTGCACGCACAGCAGCACAGCGCTGGCTCACAACCTCCACAATGAACTTAAAAGTGGTATGCTAATGTGTTTTGGGGGGGTTAAAAAATAGAGATTAAGACAAGACTGTCTCAGCATTCTCAAAATTTATTCGGTTTCATTTTTGGAACGTAGGCGGAAAACCAAAAATAAATTAGGAATAACAAAAAATATTTTAAAAAAGGGCTGTTAGCTGCCTGATTATTCATCAGGATCAGAAAAAACTCTTCACAACTGCTTGGGTCTGGGGAAACTAAAGAATCCTTGATCCAAACCCCAATCCCATGCCTCCTTCTGATGATKTATCTCCTTAGATAACCCAGTATTTCTTACGTACAGATGTGAACAAATGATGTTAAAATAGTAATTCAATCTTTACATTAGAATCCTGTCAAACTAAGTGTTTGACCTTAAGGATCACAAACGCTTTCAAGCTTTTGAGCTTTGRCATTGCTGCATGCGCCACACTGAACACGGACTGAAGCAGAGTCTAGAGCTGCTTGAGGAGTTTAGAAAGTAGAGTAAAGATRTCCATGTTAAAGGTAGAGGCTACAAGATGATCTCCAACCAGCTTCACAGTCTTCGGACCTCAGTGGACTGTTGCCAACCTCCTAAGGAGTGGACGCAAGTGGAAATGCAACCTCAGGGTTATTAAAATGTGAATCAACCAGATACAAAAGACCCAAAAAAACCATTCAGAGCCATTCAAGCTGAACTCCAAGGTACAGGTACGACACTTTCTGATCTCAGCATTTGTCAGATTTTAAATCATAATGAGCTCCATGAAAAAAGATTAATGTTAAAGTCTGGGACTGGGGCTTTTAGGGTCAGTCACATTAGTTGTTTTTTGATTATTATTGAAGGGTACCAACAAATCTATCTATGTTTGCCTAATACTGTGACAAATAAAGGTTAAAAAAATGTGTTTGTCTTGATATGTTGTAAATCTTTTTGCTTGTGCAAAAAATGTTTAATCCTTCTATAATTTGCTCACTTATAGATTACCTTTGATGATTTATAACCTGAGTGTGTCGGCCTGAA